ATCAGATGGCTTGTCAAAGATGCAAGTTGGAAACCGTGAGTTGCTACACGAGCATATGAAGTAGACCCTTGAAAGAATGATCAAATAGAAGAAGATCAAGCTCACCACTCTGGAGCCAAGTGAAAATTGATTCAACATTTATGCATTCATGAAAACATCATTTGCATAAAAGAAAATGCATTACACTGATACATTTAATTGCATTAGTGTTTCATGCATAAATACATGATTTTGACAGATCTTCCCGTGAAAAGAGAAGATTCATGATGTCAAAAGCCCGATAAGTTTGAAGGGAAAATTTCCAACCTCAAACGCAAGGAGTTACATTTAGAGAGGTATACCCTGAAGAATTGAGAAGTCTAATCCACAGAAGAAGCATTACTCTGAAGTGATGACCATCAGATATAGAAGAAAAACAAAGATATTTGTGTATAAAGAAGTGAATCGATCGATTGGAAAGACTTGCACACATGAGATTGGAGCAAGTCAATCTTAAGCCTTCACCGAAGAGCAGTGAAGCAAACCATCCATAAGACCTTCGGGTAAGATGTTTTCAAAAGAATTTGAAAATAAAAAATAATGTTTTAAGAAGATGGAATTTTTGAAAACGAAGAATGCGATTTTCAAAATTTCACAATTTATAAGTCCTTCGGGCCATCAGTAAGTCTTTCGAGCATGATGCTTAAATCCTTCGGGTCATCTGTAAGCCTTTAGAGCAAGATGATAAGTCCTTCGGGCCATCCGTAAAACCTTCGGGTAAGATGTTTTCAAAAGAATTTGAAAATGAAAAACGATGTTTTGAGAAGATGAAATTTTTGAAAACAAATAATGCGATTTTCAAAATTTCACAATTTTTAAGTCCTTCGGGCCATCAGTAAGTCTTTCGAGCATGATGCTTAAATCCTTAGGGTAATTTGTAAGCCTTCACGGAAGAGTAGTGAAGCGAACCCATAAGTAAGTGTCATCAGTAAGTCTTTCAAGCATGATGATGAAGTCCTTCGGGCCATCAGTAAGTCTTTCGAGCATGATGATTAAGTTCTTCGGGTAATTTGTAAGCCTTCGCCAAAGAGTAGTGAAGCAAATCCATCAGTAAGTCTTTCGAGCATGATGATTAAATCCTTCGGGTAATTTGTAAGCCTTCACCGAAGAGTAGTGAAGCAAATTCATCAGTAAGTCTTTTGAGCATGATGATGAAAATCCTTCGGGTCATTTGTAAGTCTTTCGAGCATGATGATGAAATCCTTCGGGTCATTTGTAAGTCTTTCGAGTGAGATGATAAGTCCTTCGAGCCATTTTAAGCCTTTTCGGAAGAGTGTTGGAGCAAGCCATCAGATCATCAGATGTGAGAGGAAATTGAAGGTTCTCGAGTACAAAGAAGTGGATCAGTTGATTAAAAGAAAATATGCACGAGGAGTCATTAACCAATTCAAGGTCTTAGAAAGAGAGATGTTCAGATGGCAGCCTAGTCCAAGAAGATTCTCATATCTAGCTGTTGCGAGACAAGATCCCGCAAGAGAAATGGATTCTCAAAGATTCCCTTAAATTTTAAATTTTTCGAGTATAATGTTTTTCAAATCTGTAAGCATACATTAATGAGTGGCAACGTTTGTTTTTCAGGTTTAACCTTCGAAGTTGAGCCTTCATGAAAGAATAGTGAAGAATAATCAAACCATAAGATTGTTCGAGTTCTACTCCCTGAAGCAAGAGGGAGCGAACCCGTAGGCAGGAGATTGTTCGAGTTCTACTCCCTGAAGCAAGAGGGAGCGAACTCGTAAGCAGAAGATTGTTCGAGTTCTACTTCCTGAAGAAATAGGGAGCGAACTCGTTTTTAGAAGATTGTTCAAGTTCCTTAATCCCTGAACAAGAGGGAGCGGACACATCATTCGAAGATTTTTCAAGTTTCATTTATCCCGAAGTAACAGTAGAGTGCTTTAATCTTTTGAAGTTCTCAAGACCGGACAAAGTCAATCATCTTTTGATCTTTGCTCTATTCTCGTTACACGACAACGAGCAAAGAGGGGCAGCTGTAGATGCTCGTTTTTGTCCGGGGTTAGATCGCTAAACCTGACCCCTAAATCCGTTGAAGGCCCGATTCAAGTCCAATGATCCAGTAGAGCAGCCTCTGTTCCACGTGAGAATTCCCTAAAATAAAAATGGTTATGGGGAGTTAACAAGCATGAATGAGAAGTTACCAATAAGATTGAGGTTTATAATCGTATGAGGAAACTGAAAAGAGGTTCAGTTTTTATTTGGGGGTAACCATATCGAGAGGACCACGAAAAAGGAGAGGAATTTTTTACACCATAACAGGGAGGACAGAACCAAAAATAACCAGGGGAACCACGCTTTACTGTCTTGTAATAGGGGTATTCTGAAACGGAAATGAAGGAGAAGGTTTCCAACAATTGCAAAAGGAGGTATTCTAAAACCTACGAAACAGGGTGTAATAGGGGTCATTCCCTGTTTTTTTTCAAAAGCAATAGCAAGTATTGAAGGCAATTTTCCTGCTCATTTTCCTTTTAGTGTGATATGGGGTGTGTTCATGGTTTGAAACAAAAGATAAACAAAGGTATGGATTTCCTTCAACAATTGCATGCAACCATATTTCCTTTTCCATTTATTACTTTCGAATCAAAGTAAAAGAGTAAATAGATTTGGATTTTTCGAGTTACCTTGTCAGTGGGTGTCAATACCGGAGCAAGCTTTGGGGTCTGAGGTTGAGGAGTCTCGTCGGCCGTAGAACTTAGGGGTCGTTGCTTGTAGGTTCCGGGGTCGATTCTTGGGTTGTAAGGGATGAGAGTGAGACGATAGGAATGGAGGAGATAGGGAGAGAAGAGAGCATAACGGCTGTTGGACGATAAATGAGGGCTAGGTTAGCTCCTTACCCAAAATACCAGATATATTTTATGGCCAAAACGGCGACGTTTAGTGAGTGTTTAGGGATCCTGTTTTGCGCGTGGTTATGTGCCGTTTGAGCCATTCAACTTTTTGGTTTCATGCATTTTGGTCCATAAATCATGTTTTCCTGTTTTCAATTTTGCATCTTTATTTTATGCGTTTTAATTTTCAGTCCCAAATATTATGTTATTTAGTTTTTGTTAATTTAGACATTTAACTTCTGAATTGTTGCATGTTCGTTTTAGTCACTAAATCACATTTTTCAAGTTTATAATTTTATCTTCATGTTTGTAAGCGTTTCTTTTTTTAGTCATCTGTTTATATATTTTTTTTACTGTTTACGCATTTGGCTCGTAATTTTGGTTAATTGGCATTTTAGTCTTTAAATCTAATTTGTTGTGTTTTAAATTTGATCTTTGTATTTCATGCGCATTTAATTTAAGTCACAAATGTTGGTTATTTTGTTTTTGTGATTTAGACATTAGGGCTCCAAGTTTTTACATGTTACGTTTTAGTTCATGTTTAAGTTTCTTACGTGTATGTATGTGTGATTAGTTAGGGTTCGTTTCGGGTGTATACTTATCCTAGGTTTGAGTGATGATGATATGTGTGCATATGTTATTACGTGGTTCATAAGTATGGATTTAGGTGTAACATATATTTTTATTTAATTAATCTTTGCATGATATCATTTTTGCATAATTTACATGATAGCCCCACGTGCATAACTTGACTCTTATTACATAATTTAACTAAGGGTAATATCCTTTTAATTTAAAATTGTTGAAGTGGGCAGTCATAACTGATTTGAGGTCTGCTTTTAATGATTTTAAAATAAAAGTGTATCCCGAAAGTGAAACAAAAAAAATTGATTTGTCACCTAAAATTTGGGAACGAGAGAAAAAGAAATGTTCGTTTATTTAAATATATCGAGAAAAGGTTGTTATATCTTTAAGATCTGGTCTCGATATTTGTAAATAATCGAACATTCTTTATCTTTCTAAAATGACTTGGTAATTATTATTATTTTAATTTATTTGAGTGCTTTTGAATGCTTTTTTTAAATTTACATCTTTGTTTTATGGGATCAGAAACCAAATTAAGTTCGAATTTGTAAAGTTCATTGCAAAGACGTTAATTAATCGACTAGGTACCGTTTTAGGGCGTTGTGGGGGTGCTAATCCTTCCCCACACGTAACCGACTCCCGAACTCGGATTTTGGTAACGCAGACCTCAATTTGTTGTTTTAATTAAAATTAATTTTTATTTAAAATGACAAAGTATTTTTGGGTGCCCAATCACACCCTAATCAAATATTGGTGGCGACTCTTCGAACCGTATTTTTTGATAGTAAAGGAAATTCAAAATTTTTCGAAACGAGAGGTCTTTTAAATCGTATTTGTTTTTAAATTAAAAGAGACAATTAAGAATTAATGTGGTTTTCAAAATCTCACCTTTTTTCACATTTAAGGAAAAAATCGTTTCGACACAATTGTAATCTTTATAACAATGGAATGATGTTTACCATTTTAACAAGCGTAAAATGCTCCGTCTATATGTACAAATATGGATAAAGTACACAAATAGTCCCTTAACTATAAGATACTACTTTATTGAGTCACTAGATAATTAAAAGTTACAAAAAAATCTTCCGACTATAGAGAGTTGCTTTGTTGAGTCCCTCGACTATTAAAAGTTACAAAATGGTCACCTAACTATTCATTATATTCCAAACTTGTCCTTTTCCATTAAGAATTGATGGCAGTCTGAGTTGAACATTAACCTGCTAACTGAGATATTATAAAATCTGATCTCATAATCTCAAACGACTATTATATTTCTGTCAGCATGTTAACATCCAACTCAGACAATCGTTAATTTTTTAATGGAAAAAGATGAGTTTGAAACATAATGAATAGTTGATTGACTATTTTATAACTTTTAATAGTCGAGAGATTCAACAAAATAACTTCCTATAATTGAGGGACTATTTTACAACTTTTAATAATCAAGATATTCAACAAAATAATATATTATAACCAGGGATCACTTATGTACTTTATCCTACAAATATATACTACATATTTTGCGTCTAACTAGTTGGGTGTTTCGAGTCTTGTTTGATTTTCCCTAGTTGCCGCCGCTGCCACAGGATAGAAATTTCTCTTCCCCTCTCTTCCTAAGAAATCTTGAACAACATCAATAAATGGGAACTTTGAAGAGGAAGTCAGGCGATGTGGCATTCTCTGAGTCTCCTCCGCCGCTGCAGAAGAAGATACATCACGGTGGAGACGCCTTGGCGTTGACGGAGGAAGCCGCCGGATGTGTTCATGATGTTTCATATCCCGAAGGTTATGTTCCTTCTGCTTCCACCGCAAACCTTCCACCTGACTCTAAACCCGCCAAGGAGTTTCCTTTCGCGCTTGACCCCTTTCAGTCTGAAGCTATCGCTTGCCTCAATAATGGCGAATCTGTCCTGGTAACTCTCTTTTCTCCTCCTTCCTCCTCCTGCTCCCACAGAAATTAGAGTAATTGAAATGCTAGTTTCAATACAGGTATCGGCACATACATCAGCAGGAAAAACTGTGGTAGCTTTATATGCAATTGCCATGTCTTTGAAGAATAACCAACGTGTTATATATACTTCACCTATTAAGGCTCTCAGCAACCAGAAGTATAGGGAGTTTAAAGAGGAGTTTTCTGATGTTGGTTTGATGACTGGAGATGTTACCATCGACCCTAATGCTTCGTGCTTGGTTGGTATTTTAACTGCTATCTTTCTCACAATTTTTTTCCTTTAGTTTTTGATTCTTTTTTATGTTCCCAACTGTTTGATTTTCAGGTGATGACCACGGAAATCTGGCGTAGTATGCAGTATAAAGGGTCCGAGATTGTTCGTGAGGTGGCATGGGTTGTTTTTGATGAAGTGCATTACATGCGTGATCGTGAGAGGGGTGTTGTCTGGGAAGAGAGTATTGTTATGGCGCCAAAGAATTCTCGGTTTGTATTTCTTTCAGCAACTGTGCCTAATGCGAAGGAATTTGCTGACTGGGTAGCAAAGGTGGTTAATGTTTGCTTGAAGTTCTTCACCAACTTTTATCTTGAAATTTGATTATAACTAATTAATGCTTTTCCAAGTTGTCAAGCAGATTCCTTTTGGCTTCAACTATTGAGAATGATTATGTTATTCAAACACTAAGATGTTCTGAATCTTATCCTGTTATTTGTTGCAAGACCCTTAATACTTTGGAGAGTATCGAAAATTACACTGATTTAGTGACCAACCTTTTGTATTCTTTTCATGTTGTTTACTAAAATATTAAGTAGATGCTTTCAAGTTTGAGGATTTTTTAAGACTAACTTGTTTTTCATCATAATATTTAATTAATGGAATCATAATGAGTTAGGTAGAAAAACTCCCCTGCAAGATAAAAATATAAAGAAAATTTAATTTGGAAGTTGCCTTTCTTCTAATCACGTATTGTATATATCTTGTGTACAGCTACTTTCTTATCCATTTACTGCTGTTCAACTATGTTTATGGAATTTCTTGTCTTTAACGGATTGGGCTCCCTCCATTGCTTTATGATATTTACATCACCGTTCATCTTTGTATGATCCACTAATGTGTTGTGAAAACCATTCTTGTGAATGGTAATGGAAGGTATATTACAAAATATGAACAGAAAGTATTTTAGTAAATGATTTTTAAGAAGAGATCAGGGGCATATTAACAATTTTGTTTTCATTTCCTTTGAAAATGTTCCTATTTGAAATACTAGTCCTGGTCCTAGTGCTCCTTGCTGTTGATTCTTGTGAATGGATTTTGTACCTAGAAAGTGATTAGGAATCTTGAGGACATTATGCACATTATTTTGAGTAGGATGTTTTTGGGATCAAGAAGCACATTAGATTACATAGCTATTACATAGCTAGATGCTTCTATACATTAACTTCATAGCTTGTTTAATTGTTGAAATATTTATGCATATTTTGGTTCTACTGTTGCAGGTTCACAAGCAACCATGTCACATTGTTTACACTGATTATCGGCCAACCCCACTTCAGCATTATATTTTCCCTGCTGGAGGTGATGGTCTATTTTTGGTGGTAGATGAGAAAGGGAAATTTCGTGAGGATAGTTTTCAGAAAGCTTTAAATGCGCTAGTTCCTACAAGTGAAAGTGACAAGAAAAGAAATAATGGCAAGTCACAGAAGGGTTTAGTGATGGGAAAAGTCAGTGAACAAAGTGACATCTTCAAGTTGGTGAAAATGATCATTCAGCGTCAATACGACCCTGTGATAATTTTCAGCTTTAGCAAAAGGGAATGCGAATTTCTAGCAATGCAGGTGACTTTTTAAAAAAAAAAAAATATTTTTGTGCGAGGAGAGGAAGGGCGATAGTTTGGAAGCTTTTATTTAAATGTGTAAATTGTTGGTAAGGGATAGTCAGACGTGGATGGTTCGCATGTCTTGTTTCCTTTTTCTCAGCATTATGTTATACATAAAGTTGACAAGTTAGTATTATATGTGTGTGTTATCGTAATCAAGTTTGGCCTATTGATTGTTGCTTATAAAATATACTGTTTTTGGAGGTGCATTTTTCCTCTTTTTCTTATCCAGATGTCCTGAATTTCCATTTTTTAATTTTTTTCCTGATATTCCCTTTTAGGCACATGCACCAGTTTTTCTGTTGCGAGGTTAATTTGTCTTTTCATTATCTTAGTTGTCTTGTTCTTTCTTTATGTTTTTAAATTAGATGGCAAAGATGGATTTAAATGATGATGATGAGAAAGGAAATGTAGAAACAATCTTCTGGAGTGCCATGGATATGCTTTCTGAAGATGATAAGAAGCTACCTCAGGAAAGTTGTTAGTCCTCTTCTAAACCCATGAGACATGTTTGAATGGGAAATTTATAAATGTTTGCAAATGTAAGATTGGAAATAAAGACACTGTAATTTTATGATTATTCCCTGGTTACCTCCCAAACTTAGAGTTTTGTCAAAATAATAATCTTTTATCCTTTATTAGTTACTACTGACCATCATCCTTTGAGTTACAAGCTTTATGCAAATGTTGTGTTTAGTTAGCAAGAGTTTCTGTTTTTTTATTATTTATTTATTTATTTCATTTTATTTGTTCTTTTGGTTTAATATCTAGTCAGATATAAAAATTTTGTAATCAGAAATTTGTTGCAAAAATCTGATATTCAAGGCTTATTTACTAGTAAAGTTCACATTTTGATGGATACCCATGTAAACTTGTTTAATATGTATTCAAGGCTTATTTACTAGTAAAGTTTGCATTTTATTCATATATGTAGGTATTTTTCAACCGCTCTTGAATACTGTCTGGGGCACATAGTCACATACATTCCAATGTGCTGTAAACAATTTGAAAATTTGGTTTTTGTTTGATTTATTTATTTTTTGTTGTTACACATGTTTTACGTATTTTTCTCGAAAAGAAAGAAGAAATTTAGAAAAGGACAGAAAATAAAATGGAACTTTCAGCTACTTGTATGCAGTGGATGTGTTCACATGGAAAATTATAACTCGGAATTAGATGCTATCTGTTATGACTAGTTCTTTTGTTTTGCTCAGATATTTGTTATGTATGGTTTTACAGGTGTCAAACATATTACCGCTTTTGAAACGTGGAATTGGTGTGCATCACTCTGGTTTGCTTCCCATTCTAAAGGAAGTGATTGAGATATTATTTCAGGAAGGACTGATTAAGGTTGGGAATATAAACTCAAGTTATATCTTTAAGTTAGATATGTTTTAAAGGTTTTATGATGGACCATAACATTATCGTGCTGATTGGTTAGTTACTGAATTGACCTACAGTTGGTTAAATGGATAACTAGCGTTCTGATGGCTAGTTTGCATGCAGTATTCTTTTGCTCATTTTTAGGTTGATTTGTTTTATTGAATCTGCATTATGTTGAGCTTCTCAGAAAATTGTATTACTTGTTTTACTGTATAAAAATTCTTTTTCTTTATTTGCACTATTCATATGACTTCCTATTAACAGAAGAACAAAAACTGAAAAAAATTTCTTCAGTGTTTGTTTGCCACAGAGACCTTCAGTATTGGGTTAAACATGCCTGCTAAAACCGTCGTGTTTACAAATGTTCGTAAATTTGATGGGGACAAGTTTAGATGGATATCCAGCGGAGAATACATACAGATGAGTGGCCGCGCTGGTCGTCGAGGTATTGATGCACGTGGGATATGCATTCTTATGGTGGATGAAAGGATGGAACCATCTACGGCTAAAATGATGCTCAAGGGAAATGCTGATAGTTTGAACAGGTATATTTAATCTACCAGATATGGCCTGTTTATGTTACACTAATCCTTATTTTCCATCTTTTGGTGGTACTTTGTATTCATGCATTTCAAATAACTTTTCATGCTGCTGAACATTTGTGCACATGAAACTCGTTATCTGTCTATGATATTTTTTTTATAAGAATTGAAGGCCTCATTAAAAACCCCCTTCATGATTAATGGAACTTGAAATGATTTCCTTAATCAGAGGAAGGAGGAAAAGAGTGCCTTATACTTTTTTTTTTGATAGAATCTTAGGCCTCGTTAAAAACCCTCGACTTGCCCTCCATATTGCAATAGTAACATGAAGGACAAAGGAAGAGGGAAAAGAGTGCATACTTTTATTAATCAGGAGAATAATACACTGTCATCCCTTACATCATACTTTAAAAGCCTTAACCCAATTACATAAGACTTAACCACCTCTTACTGCTGAAACCATAACACTGAATATATAAGACTGAAAACAAAATCCCTACAGAAATGCCAGGGAGACTAGCACCCTAACACACCAAAAACAAAGCCTAACGATCGTCCAATACCATCCTTAGCTAGTCTGTTCGCTTCCCAGTTAGCAGCTCTCAAGATTTGCCTTAACATAATATCCTTCCCTTGCATTATAGAAACGATCTCTTTCACCAAGGATAGAAACATAGGGGAGCTTAGTTCCGGATTCTTGATTCACTTCAAAGCATTACTTGGATCCAATTCTAAAATAATCCTCTTATTAAGGCCAACACCTGAATCAGACAACACGTACAACCCTCTTTATCGCCAATAATTCTGTCAAAATCGAAGGACCCCCCAACCTTATCAGAGAACCAGTTAATCAACACACCTCTGCTGTCCCTTATGAGTCCACCTATACCACCTTTATTCCAACCACTCACCATCGCCCCATCAACATTAATCTTTATGAACCCGTCTGGTGGAGGAACCCAACATGAAGGTTGGGATCCACTTTTTTTCTATCTCCCAACCGAATCAGCAAGAGTTAAGTCACCCACTAGAGAGTCGAAAGGAATCTGCACAACATCAAAACTAGCAGTAAACCAAGAGACTATTCGAAATCGAGCAATCAAGAACATCCTCACCACATCCAACTTTCCTTTCATGAAGATAACTTCATTCCTACATTTCCATATAGTCCACAACACCGCCCTTAGGATAAATTTCCAAATACTGGAATTCTATAATATCTCATCCCACATAATAATAAAGTCTAAGATGTTATTAGGAATCACCAAAGAAACATTCCACAAATTCGCAAATCTAGCCCACAAACCCCAAACTACCTCACAGTGCAGAAACAGATGAGAAACAAATTCCACAAACCTGCCACACAACGAACATAAAGAGTCTTCAATCCCAGCCACTCCTCGCTTCAACAATTCCTCTTTAACCGCCACTCTCTGATGAGCAACTTGCCATATGAAAGTTTCAACACGTGGAGGAGCTATCCCGACCCAAATATGTTTGAGCCATTTATCCTGAAACCCCTGATTACCAGCCGTATCAAAAAATTGTTGATACAAGACTTAGTTGAAAAACAACCCTCTCCATTCCCTAACCACATCCAGTAATCGTCCTCATCAAGAGATAGTGAGATGTTGTTCAACATATAAATCAGCAGCAACCATTGTTCAATCTCCCATTCCGCTAGATTTCTTCTCATTTGAATATCCCACACCCATCCTACCGCATTGTACACCCTAAACTCCACCACTTTACCCACTTTATTATTCGAAAGTGCATACAATCTAGGGAACAAGTCTTTAAGAGGGATTTCTCCCAACCAAACATCATGCCAAAACTCCACCGAATGACCGTTTCCAGCTTTCAAACGCATATTTCTCCTAAAGCAATCTCCAAACTCATCACTAGAAAAGAAGTTATTAATCACTCATCTCCAAATCCAAGAGGCTCGAGCTGTCAAAGTATTCCCCAACATTTTGGAATTCAGATCCAAATTGTTCACACAGCAAACCACCCTCTTCCACCAAGAATCCTTTTCAGAGGCAAACTTCCAAACCCACTTTCTCATCAGTGCTCTGTTCAGAATAGCTAAATTCGAGATCCCAAGACCCCCCAACCTTCTCGGCTTACTGACCAAATTCCAGTTCACCCAATGTATGTTTCTTCTATCTGTCGAACCCCCCCATAAAAAAACAGCCATGATCGAATTTAGTTTCTGCAGCACAATTTTTGGAATTCTAAAAATAGAAAGGAAATAAGTGGGAAGGGAGCACAACACTGCTTTAACCAACACCACCCTACCTGCTAATGCTAGAGAATTTACCTTCCAACCAGTCAACTTATTATGAAATCTCTGTATAATTGGCTCCCACATTGCAATAGAGTTTCTCTTAGACCCCAAAGGCAATCCTAGATACTCTGTTAGAAAACTACCCACTGAGCAGCCAATTTCATTAGACCAACCAGCTAACACCTCAACATTTATTCCAAAAATTCTGCTCTTAACTAAACTAATCTTCAACCCCACCAAATAACTCATAAATCAATAACACCCTTCTAATATTCTTCAAATCCCGGATTGATGCTTTGGAAAAAATAATAAGGTCATCCACAAACTGAAAATGCGATAGCTTGAAAGAACTTTCTTGAACTCCTAACTCAAAGCCCGAAAACAATTCGAAATTCACAGCTTTAGTTAACAACAAATGAAGCAATTCACCACCAAAATTGAATAACAAGGGGGATAGCGAGCAACCTTGTCTAAGTCCTCTTTTAGTGTGAATTCTGTCCGTAGGAGTTCCATTTAGTAAAACTGAAATAGAAGCAGTTGACATACACTGATACATCGAAGAGCACCATTTTTCACCAAACCCCATTTTACTCATAATTTTTAACAAAACCAACCAATCTACCGAATCATAGGCTCTCTTGAAATCCACCTTAAAGACTACCCCTCCAATCCTCTCTTCCTCCAATAATCAATTCCTTCATTTGCTATAAACGAACAGTCCAAAATATTCCTCCCTTTAATAAACGCAAACTGAGATGGACTGATTATCACATTAATGCACAAACTGAATCTTCTAGCTAGGACCTTTGACAAAATTTTATATAAACCTCCCACAAGGCTAATAGGCCTAAAGTCCTCCATCCCCTCCGGATTATCCTTCTTAGGTATAAGGGAAATAAATGAATGATTCACCTCTAAGTCCCATTCCTTCCCTGCATAAAAGTCCTTAAAAAACAACATAATATCCTCTTTCAAAGAAGACCAGAATTTCTTAAAAAAACCTAAATTCAGACCATCCGGCCCAAGAGCTTTGTTGTTGTCCGCGTTGGCAATTGCTTCCCAAATTTCCTCCTGAAAATGGCTTCTCAAGTGCTAAACCCTGTCCTACCGATAATTTTAGAAAATCCAGATCTAATTTACTCAGCCTCCAAAGAATTATTCTGACTAAACAGACCATTAAAAAACTCCACCACTGAAGCTCTAATTAATGTAGGATCTTCTACTACTTCATTACCCACTTTGAGGGACTTAATACAATTTTTTCTTCCTCTAACTGCAGCAATATGATGAAAAATCTGGTGTTCTTATCACCATCCATTCTCCATTTCAGTCTTGATTTTTGCAACCAAATCGATTCTTCTTTCTTTTGTAGTTCCCATAGTTCTTTCTTTGCTTCAATTATTGATTTCATTGACACCAAAGGAAGTCCTTGTTGCAATTCCAATTCCAGTTCTTGGATTTCTTTCTCCAATAATCTGATTTTTCCGGGTAACTCTAAATAACCCTTTCCAGACCATTTCTTTACCTCACCCTTCACCCGCTTTAGCACCTTAGACATGGGCTTCCCTTTTTCCTCTTTACAAAGTTTAACTAGCTCCTCCATCATCTCACTAAACCCATCCTCCTCCAGTACATAGTTAAACAGTCTGAACAGTTTCTGCCCCCAATTCCATTATTTGTTCTCCAACAGAATAATATTGTGATCTGAAACAGACCTTGGCTGCAATGACTGACTTATCTTTGGAAAACAAGCTAGTAATCTCTGATCCACCAAAAACCGATCCAACCTCTCAAACGTGGGAGCTTCCCTATTATTACACCATGTAAATCGACCGCCAGACAAAGGCAAATCAAACAAATTGGCCTTACTCACAGTCTCTAAACATATTCATTATTACCGAATTCACAACCCCTCCTTTCTCTTCCTGTGACAACACTGCATTAAAATCTCCACCTAAGCATAATGGACAGTCAACATTATCCAAAAATGCTAATAACTCCCTGAAAAACATCTCTTTATCTGCATCCACACTAGGGCCATACACATTAATAAAACAACTTCCTGGTACTCCTTCCAAAGTCCCTTTTATTACTACAAATCTACTATTAATGACTACATCCTTCACCATAAACTCCTTCTGATTCCACAAGGTTATAAGTCCACCAGCAGAGCCTACTGAAGGAGATATTGCCGAACCAGTAAGTATTTTACCCCCCATTTTCCTCACCAACATATGACTGACAACCTCCAATTTTGACTCTTGAAAAAATACAATTGCAGGTTTCTTCTCAACAACAAATCTCCAAATTGCTCGAGCTTTCACCCTTCTACCCAACCCTCTAACATTCCAAGACAACAACAACCACTCAACCATCATTAACATACAATAACCTTACTTCCCAGTAACAACTACCTTCCCTCTTTCGAGTTCCTTTCATTAACCATAGGAACCATTTTGTCCAATAAAACCTTTCTCTCCTCCCTTGAACTTCACACCCAGCAGCTTGGAAACATTCCAACATTCCAAAGCCTCTGCCACCCCCTCTGTCTCATTCACTGCAAAGGATTCAGATTCCTTACCATTGCAACTCTTAACTTCCCACCTCCTGGAATATACATTCTTATAAAAACCTCTATCGATTTTACTTACTGACACACATTTCCCAGAATGACGACGCATCACCTGAGAAACAGACCCGTTCTGCAACTTTAAAC